CCCCCCCCCCCCCCCCCCCCCCGCCGTTGACGATCGGCGGCCGTTCCATCGCAAACGGATCCGGGGGAGGTTGCTCGTCAAGCGGGGCTAGTCCGGCCTGCCCCTGTCCCGGAGTAACCATGCCGTCGCCGTCGCCGTCGCCGTCGCCAGCAGTTGTGATGGTGTTTGGATCTTGCCAAGCTACGTTGGGGCTACCACCGCTAGCACCACCTGGTGGTACCATTGTCAAGGAGGAGTATTGTCCGCTGGGCCACCTGTCTTCCATGAGCTGCCGGCCTGGCTCGTCTTGCTGCTCGCGGCGTTGGCCGTTGTGGGACGGCTGGGGCGGTGGGGGGGTGGATTGGACAGCAAGAAGGAGGCGTGCTTGAGGATGGACACAACATAACCTTCGAAGAGGTCGTAGCAAGCGATTCTGAGAAAGTAGGCTGGAGCTCTGAACCGTCTGATCATGATGCAGAAGGAATCGTGTGACCTTCGAAAACATTTCCTGCCGCCCCTTCCCCCTCTCCCCGTCAAGGAACGCCGCTAAACGGCAGGAAAATAAGCAGGGTACACCTCGGGAATATTCCCGCCGTTTTTTTCCCGCCGTGGTGGGCGGTCCCGGTACTGGCGGGAATTACCGCCACATTCGGGTGGTACCGGGAACCGCCGAAGGCGTTACCGCCGAAAAACGAAAAACCGCCGACCGCCTAAAAAATACCGCCACTTTGCAGTACCGCCGAAAAAGTACCGCCACTTTGCAGTACCGCCGAAAAAGAACCGCCGAAAAAACGAAGTACCGGGAACCGCCAAAAGAGAACCGCCATATTGCAGTACCGCCGAAAAAATACCGCCGTACTCCAGTACCGCCAAAACGGTACCGCCATACTACAGGTTTGCCCTCTAGAGTAGCAAAGGGCACTGTCTTCGACGCCATTTCGCGCAGATCAGTGGTTCGAGTCCAACTGGCGTGCGTCTTTGTTCACGTTTTTTCTTTTTTCTTTTTCTCTTTCGTCATACACATATATATATATATATATTTGGTTCTGCCTTGTTCCTTTTCGGCAGAACCTCTTTCATCTGTCGCCGATCGTCAGCTGTTCGAACACACCCATCACACACGCAGCACTTGCCCCAGCGCCCAGCAGAGCAATGAGCGCGTTAGAGGGGAATCCCGGTGCTACTAGTAGTGTAGGAGATGGGTCTGCTGCTTTGTCGGTGGCGCGTGCTGCCGGTGATTCTGTGGACGGGAGCGATTCTGTGGATGTGGAATCGGTGGCTACGAGGGAACCAGAGCTGCAATCCTCAAGCGAGTCTCGCACCATGGTAAATGCGGGCCGCGGCCAGTCAATTTCGGTCACACTCATGGAGCCTCAGTATGGCAAAAGGAGGTTGACAGCTTGGTGTTGGCAGGTTATGAGTAGGTTCACCCCGTCCATCAACGACAAGAACGTGGTGTGTTTGGTGAAGAAGAAGGATGGGACAACCTGCAACCACCTCATGAAGTGGACTCCATCAGAAGGCAAGCAGCGAGGGTCGGGAACAACTGGCTTGACCAAGCACATCGAGAAATTTCATCCCACTACGGCCCAGAAAATAAAGGAGGAAGAAGGCACGCAGGCGGAAAGGAAAGAGTCTATTCAAGCGGCGATCGGTGAGTAGTAGTTCGTCATGATTTTTTTTTTTTTTGTGGTGCTGCTGCTACACTGCTGCTGCTGTAGACTTGACCCCCCCTTTTTTCTTTTCTTTTTCCTAATATAACACAAC